CCCCATTTATCCCCCCGCAGCGGCCACCATGAAACAAAAAAAAGCAGAAAAGTTATGTATTTTTAGTTTTCAGTTTCTCCGCCCCACACGTCGGGCCCAGGGCCGTGCACACACACACACACACACGCGCGGAAGCATATACGAGTGTTTGCCTTTTCTTTTCGCTGCGCCGCAGGGTCTCGCCAATGCGTGTGGTTTTTGCGTGCGTGTTAATCGCGGTTCTCAATGCCGCCGCCCCTTTTACGAGGATGTGAGGAACAGGCTCCTCGTTTTTTTTTTATCCCTCCTCACCCCACCCCTCCTTACTTCGTTTTAAGCCTCCAGGGGAAGCGCGGCAGCCTGTTCCCCCGCGGCATCACTTATTTGCACCACAAACTTGCCAAAAAAGTTCTGAGCGAGATTATTGCGCAGACGCGGCTTCTGCGCCAACTCCATCTTTACAGCATCGAGCAGTGGCGCATCAGCCAACATCAGTTTTTGCAGAACAATTGAGCCACACTGCTGCATGGCAAGGTCCGAGAGACCCGAGAGAATCATACTCACCACCCGCCGCTTGCCGCGCTGATCCAAGTTCAGCATCAAAGTACACAACACGTGCTGCGTCCCCTTCTCACATGCTAGTTCCATAAAGTGGCGAAGGAGCAGATCGCAAATTTCACGATTTGCAGGAATCGCCTTTTCAACGACAAAACGTCCATTCAAATGTTTTGACAGCGTCACAACATGCGGGCGAAGCGCGTGACAGAGCTGTGTATGCGTCGTCGCTCCCACGCGCTCAAAAAGGCACCCTACAACATGGGAAGCGTACGTATGCTGACACACACGCAGAAGCTCATCACTCTTGCACAGCTTTCGAGCAAGTTCCTCACCACCACAAATCTTAATATACTCCTGCAGTGTTAAATTTCCAATGGCGTCATACATCAAAGTGTCCATATCACGAACAAGGGCTTTAAGCAGCAGCTGTCCCGCCTTAGATCCTTTTACTTCACACAATGGCAGAAGCTTCCGTACAACCAGACTACCATTGGAGTCACAGAGCATACCCGTCACATTATCTTGCGTTAGTAGCGCTCCCGCAATTTCCTCTACAATCTCCTTCAAAGGAGTCGTCGCAAGTGACGCCACGACAAGTGCCACTACCACGTGCACACCAATATGATGGGTTGCCAGGGAAGAAAGATGTGGTCCCAGCACCTTTAAAATGCGTTTAAAGTATCCCTCCATCGACGCCGTGCCAGTACGAGGGATAAGACCAATGATGGCCTGCGCAACAAAGTTAGCATCCGCGGAGGTGCACATCCCAAGTAGTTCGGGCTCAAAGGACTTCAGAACGACATCTAAGGTTGCATTGGCCTCCGCCTCTGATGCCCACTTTGGCAACTCGGGAGACAAAATATCATGCAAAAACTTGCAACCCCGCTTATTCTCGAGAAGCGCCACAAGGTTCATATGCCCCAATAAGGCAGAAGAGTGGGCAGAGCAAAGGATGAGGGCTCGCATAACTGGCGAAGCCACTGGGTCCAGGATTAACGAGAGCAGAATTTCGTGCTGGTTCGCCGCGTCACGACGAGTCGGTTTCTGCTTCTTCTTCTTCGTGTTCCCAGCCGCAATCTCCGCAAGCCCGAGGGTTTCTCCCAGCCACGCCACCGTCTCAATGGGGAAATGCTCAATGAGGTGTTGGATCGTTACGGCCGAGTGGCGGTTGCGGAGTTGCGCCTGCAACTGATCCACCGTTTTGGCGTGCCGCCGCAACACCTGGAGAACGCGTCCTTGTATTTCACGGTCGCCGTGTTGAACCAAGGAACTCAGCACTTTACAGGCGACATAGTGTCCATAGAGTGCCTCATTTTCCTCGAATAATTTAGTGACAACGTCTAGCACCACCGGCGTCTTGCCATCGTCAGAAGTATCCAGGGCGGCGATCAAGGCACACACCACACGGCCGCCACACTCATCTTGGAGAACATCCTCAAGTAGAGTCATGGGCTCCTCTTCATCCGCGTCATCCGTCGTGATGGCGGCCTGATGGTCCAGTTGCAGAAAGGCATCCACAATGGTGCCCAGCGTGGATGCATCTATCGTGGCTTCCTCTCTTCGTCGCTTGCGGGGAGCTTCACCTTGGGGTCGTTCCGGACCCGCCGAACGCAGCAGCACGCACAGATCCTCAGAAGCGGCGGGAAGCCGACATGACTGAGCGAACTGTCCCACGAGCATCGCCTTCTTTTCCTCCGTCAACTGGTCCTTCGGCAGCGCAGTGCGCTGGATGAGTCGCCCACTGGTGTCTTCGCCACGTCGCAACGCTCTGGCCGCAGCAACCCTTCGCTTGCGCTGCTCGCGCGTGTGCTGCACCTGACGCTGGTGTGCACGCTCAAAGCTGGCTTTCTTACCCATGTGTGGCTGTGTGTCACGTCGTGTTACTCCTACCACCAAGGACAACGCACAACAGCGAAGACAAGGGCAGTGTGGCAATGACATAAACAAGTAAAGCAAAAAGAAAAAAAACAACAACAAAAATTAGCTCGAGCAAATGCATACATCACAAAAGGAGGGATTGAGACTTGCATCCCACACACAGGATATATATATATATATATATCCTCTCTATGCATCCCCCCCCCCATCCCTCTTCTGTACAAGTCACTTCCTTCGCATCCGCCCGCTCATGCGTTCACCACCCAAGTCAAACCAAATGCGCAACACAAGCAACTGGTACATGTGTTTCCATGCAGTGTTTACAACACGCATCGAAGAGTGAGAGCCATTGTAGAATTGCAGTGTGCTTCTCACAAAAACCATCCTTTGCCTCCGCGTATGGCTTTTACTTGGCCAAAGCGCGGGATACCGTACTCTGTCAGTGAGGAATACTTCACCGTGGCATACAAGCCCGTCAGTGAGCGACGGCCAACCTTCCCAGTGCTTCTTTTCCCATCCTTGGAACCTCCTGTGACTTCCAAAAGGTGATCCAGCAACGCCCGTTGCTTCGCTACATCCATCTTGGGAAGTGGAACGCTAAACACGCGCCCTGTATCACTAAGACAATGCAGACCGTAAAAGACCACCACTTTGCTTTCCTCATTCTTCTTTGACGCGGCCCTGCCAAGCGTTGTCCGCGGGACTGAGATCACGTCACGGCCGCCGTGAAGCGAATTCAGAGAAATGCTAACGAGCTTTCGGGCGCGTGGATTAATTGACGGGATCTTCAGTAGCGGCTTTAAAATTGCATATTCCTTGTCACAAAACGGAAGTAACTTCACTGCAGTGGTGCTACGTCGAGCATTCTGCTTTGCCCGCCGCACTGCCGCCTTTACAATCACCTGGTGATTCGCATCCTCTGGCTCATTCGCGTTGGCCACAACCTCCGTGCCATGACATTCACCAGCACCCATCGAGGCGACCCATTCATCCTTGGCGTAGCTGCGAAGGAGCGGCGAGGGATCGCCCGCTAACACAGACCGCTTTGGCCAGGTGGAGGCCTGCCGCCTATCGACAAAAGGGCGTTCTCCACCGGGGAGAAGTGGGTCCAGCAGCCCCAGCAAGACGCCCTTCTCCTTCTCCTTAAGCTCGTACACGTTTGTCGCGCTGCGAACGACGGCCCCTTCGTACCCGCCTGCGAGGTATCTTTTGAGGTACACCTGTTTTGCCTCGCCGAGGGAGCGCAGCAGCGAGTACTGAATCAGTTGCACATATTCCCCACCGAGGTTAGTGACACCCGTCGCTGTCGCCGCCGCCGCCGCCGCAGCAGCAGCAGCAGCAGCAGCAGCAGGAGGAGGAGGAGGAGGAGGAGTGTTTCTGCCTCGCCGCTTCATTTTCGCGTTTGACAGGGGGGCGGTATCACCACCCACGGCTCTTCCGGGAAACAAAATGGAAGAGGCACGGGCGCGATGCAAGAGACACATGAGAAAGTGCATCACCTTCAGTCGCTGTGAAAAGACGGAGTGGTTTGGAATCACACGCAACAGCTCCAAATCCCGAACACCATTGGCCCCCAGCACTTCCCGAAGTAGCGAC